ATAAAAATAAATATTGTGATGTGATATAACAATGCATTTTAAAAAATTAAACAAGCCAAAAATAAATTGATTTGATTTAACAAAACATAATATATACAAATAATATATAAGTTATAGAGTGTCTAAGTTTTTCTATAAATATATTTACATTTTATAAAAGAAAACACACAAACTTTCATCAAAGATATTTATATTTTCTCCCACTACTCTACATTCAAGTTTTAACAATGGAGCAAAACTCTCAAAAATCTTCCAATTCTCAAAAGCCTTTTTCATTTCAAAGTTTTACGAACATGCTTGGAAATCAAGATTGTTCCCAAAAAACTCTTTCAATCCTAATGTTACTCAAAATTTTCAAAAATCTGTCCCAAATATCTACGCTTCATCATATTCTTCTATTCCTCCACACTACTATTATCCTCAAAATTTTCAACCTTTTGTAGGTTCATCATATTCTCAAAATTTTTAATCATCTGGAGGTTCTTTTAATCCTCAAAATTTTCAATCATTTTAAGGTTCATTTCATCCCCCATCGATGGGTTTTACAAAAAATATACAAATGGAAAGTATTTCTGAATTTTGCATACAAACCAATCAACGAGATGAAGATGACGTACAAATCATTACTCCAACAACAGAGACCAAAAGAAAGTGGACTCATGAAGAAGATTTGCTTCTTATTAGTGGATGGCTTAACACAAGCAAAGATGCACTAATAGACACTGATAAAAAATGTACTACTTTTTGGAAAAATTTTTTTTAATATTTTAATGATAACAAATCTGAAGCAGGGGTGTCAAGAAGTGTAAACCAATGCAAGAATCGTTGACAAAAGATAAATAAAGTCGTTTCAAAATTTGTTGGGTGCTTTCAACAAGCTAACCAACAAAAAATGAACGGAGAATCTTTTGATGATGTCTTGAATAAGACACATTAAAAATATTCTACAGATTGTAAGAAAGCATTTATTTATGGACACGCTTGAATTAAAACTTGAGCCAAAATGGAGTACCAGTCATTGTGGTACAAATGTTGTCAATGAAGCATCTTATGACAGTAGAGTTGGTCCGAAGAGAATTAAAATTAATGAATACGGTGGATACTCGTCAAATTCAAATCCAACAACACCACATAGTGATGAAGTAGAAGAATCTCCCTCAATTCGTCATCCGGGTATAAAAGCGTGTAAAAATAAAGGCAAACGGGCACTGAAGAAATCTTCAAATTCACTATCCTCCAATGATTTTGAAGAACTGCGAGCTCAAAGTAAAGAAGTTGCATCACAATTTGCTCATATGACACTACTGAAGGAAGAAAAAAATCAAAAGCAATGAGCGTATTGCCAAAATGAAACTTTATCAAACACTAGTGGAGAAAGATAATTTGACGGAGTAGGATCTATTTGTTAAAGCTAAATTGTTCGAATAATTATTTTAAATATTATTTAAATTATATGTATTTTGTTATATATTATTCAAATTATCTTGTCTTTTATTTTATATTAATATCTTATTATTAATTATGTATGTATAATTAATTATAAACTAAATATATTTATTGTTTAATATAATTTTGTACTATTATTTAATTGCTTTAAAATTTATAATTATATTTTATTGAATAAATTAAATTAAATTTATTAATATTGATTTGTTCAATAGAATTATATAATATTTGTATTTATATATTTTAAATTTTAAATTGATAAAATATATTCAATATTGGTATCATTTTGTAAAATACAAAATATTATGAATTATAAAAATATATTACAAAATTTAAATATAATAATAAATTCAATATAAATTACAAAAATAAAACATATATAATATATATCATATATATATATATACATAAGTATCATGTATCCCAATTAGAACATATGGCAATGGGATAACATCTTCCCAACTTCTCTGCAGAGATGCTGGGAAGCAAAGTATCTATCAATTTTTATTTTTATTTTTAAAAAAATTGTGATGTGGCGTATCTTCTCGTGCGGGTTTGTACATCGGATGGTCTTAGGTTTGTAGGTGCGACTGTCCAATTTACAATATTAATATATTTATATGGCCGTCAATTGCACAATGTCCAATCGACCTACCTACGTTACTCCATTAAATAAATAATTAATTTAATCACAAATATAACCATAATTGTAACGCTCGGTTTGAATAGCCAAATCATACTATTTTTTATTCATGCAACTACTCTGCAATCTAATTGTAGTAATCCTGTTGTGAACAGTTGTTGTGGTAATAATTTATTACGAAATCAATAAAATCATCGCCACCACGAATAGTCATAATTATGATCGTCACAATGAATTCGTCAAAATTTGACCACAAATACTCAAATAGTTATAATTTGACTTTGGTATCAAAATGTTATAAGAGTATTGTTGTTAATTGATTACATGAGCAACTTAATTGTTATCTAGCTGAAAATAGTCATATCTAAATGTTGACTTCATAAATCCATTAGAAAACAGATCATAGAACATCTATGAACAAATATTCAAACATGAAAAAAATACGAAAATTATCATTCATACGGTGAAATAAATTTAGTGTTTTTTATATTATGATATAAATATTTATAAAAAGATAAAATAACTATTGGTAACAGATTGTTAAATACTAGTGAAAAAAAAAAACACTTTCTAATAATTATTATCCTTGAATCGTAATGCCTAATTTGAAGATAATATACAACCCGTTGATTTAAAGATTGACTAATTTAGAGTTGTCTGATCCTAATTATCGATTTTCACAATATGCAAAATTTAAAAAGTTGTACACAATACACATTGTGTGGCCACTTTGATTTGATTGATTTTTGTACGTAACAATTGTGATTTTATTTTATCAATATTGTTATAAGATTGTGATTTTAGTAGCATCTAATAACTTTTTTATTCAATCTTTAACTCGTTTACATTCATAGGCTATTATATAATAATTTATATTTTTTTCCGTTTGCTAAAATTATGTTCATTTTACTATTTTAGTCTATTCATAAAAAATGTGTTTTGCTATTTTTAGTAAAAAGGTATTCCCTCCGTCCCAGATGCCATGTCCAAATTGCCATTTCTGTCTGTTTCATGTCACTTTTTTTTGGAAAATGATTACACACTTTAATTTTATTTTAAATTTTTTAATTTTATTTTTTTTAATTTTAATTAAACTAATTAGTTATCTTAATCTTCTTAATTTATAATTATTTATATTATAGAATAATTATTTTCACTAATACATTTTTAATTATCTACTAATTACACTCATCGTAAAATACAGTGTAGCAGACACGATATCTGAGACGGAGGGAGTATTATTTATTTTTAAATTTTACCCATTATTTTCACATTAACTTTTAACAAAACGGAAATAGTATAATATATACTAGCGATGATATTCTCTTAAAAAAATGTTCATATAAAGAATGCCTAAGTAAGTGAAGATCCTTGGTTCGTTAATCTTACCCAAAAAAGCAAACCACAAATTGTAAAGGCTATTGGAGTGAAGTCTCGATCTCAATATATTTCTTGTCATGACTCACTCGACTCGACTCGACTCCACTCCACCCCACCCAACCCCACCAGAAACAGACAGGAGACAACCATGCCTTGGAAATCCACCATGGTTTTCCTTTTTCTTTTTTACTTTAATAATAAATAAGAAAAGGCGATTTGAACCTTTTACATTACTATATGTTATGAATTACTACAAAATTTTGCTGATATCATATGTGTGCGTGCGGGATTGAGGTAAGGAACAAATTGAGAGAGAAAGAAAGAAAGAAGGAAAGAAATGCATGCATGCATGCTGCAAATCAACTAGTTGCTATACAGACGACATTTGTTTAGTTAGTCAGCCAGCCAGTCAGTCAGTCAGGTGCATAAAAATACAATGAATATGAATATATATATATGATTAATATGGATGAATGGATCGATCGAGCAAAGCAAATACCATAGGCATAGATCGAGATGATCACGGTCATGATTTGCTGCCTGAAACTAATACTAAGAAATTAGTGAAGTTATTATTGTTATTGTTAATTACTAATAAACAATCATTTAAGACGACTTCATCCTGAAATTATTAATTAAAGTAGATGAGATGAGATCCACAATGTTTTAATTTTACCCAAGACGACAAATGAAGAGAGATCAAAAAGCGAAAAAAGACAAAAGGCGACGTGACAGAGTTGTAAAGCCCAAAACCCACCGTATTCAGAGAGACTCAAGTGCTTGTCGTCCAAACTAATACAATCGATCGATGATGATGATGATACAAAAGGTGTGTGTTGTGTTAATAATAATCATAATGGATATCCAAAATTAGGTAATATCTTATCCCCTCCCTACTCCTACTCATACTCATATTTCTTCTTAACAAATTGGATCCATCCACCCATCTTAATTAATTGGCAACTGGCTGACTACCCACACCCACACCCACACCCACACCCATCATCATTAATCATTAATCATTAACCATTAATCATTCCCATTCCAGTTGACCTTCAACCTTCAACTGCTGCTGCTCCTTCCTATTTATCAAAATCAATTCACTTTTCTTTATACCTACTTTATTATAAGGAAGGATCGACCCTGCCCTGCCCTGCCCTCTTTTACTCTCTCTATTCCTATATACAATACTAGGACTAGTAGTATAATCATTTATGATCAAATTATAATCATCAGACATGCATGCGCCATTATTAATATTCATTTGTGGGTTTTTCACAAGAAACGCTCAGACCAGACCAGACCAGACGAGACGACGGACGGGACGGGACGGGACCACTATGATATGAGTACGCCACTTATTATTATAAGTAACAGTTGTTGATACTTACTTATAATAATAATAATAATAATAATAATAATGCTGATATTAATTAATTAATGAAATTAAATACTACTTGTACTACTAAAGATTAATAGTATAAAAGTAGCCAAGAGTAGAGTAAAGTACGTACTGACTACTGAGGGCTTGTCTTTTGTATTCTCCTCGTCTTGGCTCTCGCAGCAAGCCTCAGCGTCAGTCACTCTTCCTCTCCTCTCTGCCGTCTTCACTGCACGTCTGCACCCCTACCCCTCTCTCTCTCTCTCTCTCTCTCTCTCTCTCTCTTCTACTCTGTATCCTATATCTATATATTCACACACTCCCACTCCACGCCCACTCTCTACCCTCCCATCTGCACCCAAACCCCATCTTTCTTCGATTGATTGGGAGTTTGATTTGTTCGAGTGTCGATGGATCCCCCCTCCCGATCCTTCTCCACCTTCAAATCCTACCTCCGGGCCCTTTCCGACACGCCCAACCGCCTCGCCCGCCGCGCTTGTTCCGTCTCCACCTCCCTTGAAGAGACCAGCCGCCTCCGCTCCCGCTCCGGATCCGCCATGAAGCGCACCCTCACCTGGTACGACCTCATCGGCTTCGGAGTCGGCGGGATGGTCGGCGCCGGAGTTTTCGTCACCACCGGCCGTGCCGCTCGCAAGTATGCCGGCCCCTCTGTCGTTCTCTCCTACGCCATTGCCGGCTTCTGCGCTCTTCTCTCCGCTTTCTGCTACACCGAGTTCGCTGTCGATATGCCTGTTGCCGGGGGGGCCTTCAGCTACATTCGCGTGACCTTTGGGGAGTTCCTCGCGTTTTTAACCGGCGCGAATCTGATCATCGACTACGTGCTCTCGAATGCTGCCGTGGCGAGGGGGTTCACCGCTTATTTGGGCACTGCCCTGGGCCTGTCGACGCACACGCAGCTGAGATTCACCATCCATGCCCTACCCAACGGGTACAATGAAGTGGACCTGATCGCCGTGGCGGTGGTCCTACTTCTCACACTGGTCATTTGCTACAGGTTTTTTATTTGGAATTTCTCTTTCCTTCCAAATCTCGCCAATTCTCCCTCCCTCCCTCCCTCCATCGATCGGGTACCTGGTTAACTCTGCTTGTTTTTTTTCTGCAGCACGAGGGAGAGTTCGTGGTTAAACATGGTGCTCACGGTGCTCCATATTCTGTTCATAGTATTTGTGATAGTGGTCGGATTTTGGAGAGGCGATCGGAAGAATTTCACGGAGCCGGCGAACCCGAAAGTTGCGGGCGGGTTCTTCCCATTCGGGGCTTCCGGCGTGTTCAACGGGGCGGCCATGGTGTATCTGAGCTACATCGGATACGACGCCGTTTCCACGATGGCTGAGGAGGTGAGGAATCCCGTAAAGAATATTCCAATCGGCGTCTCGGGGTCGGTGATCATCGTCACCGTTCTGTACTGCTTGATGGCCGCTTCAATGTCCGCCCTCCTCCCTTACGACCTGGTTGGTACATTGCATCTGATTCTGATTCTGATTGCGATTTCGATTGCGAGCCACCCTCAATTAGTTCCGCATTAATCTCATCGTTGTTAATAATTTCCAAGGAAAAATAATAATATAATTAATTATCCGTTTCTGGCATCCTCGAAATTGTTAGTAGCTTTCCATTTTGAACGGGGGGTACAAATAGCAAAGCGAAACGTACAAGCAATCGAAATCCGTTTTTTGGAGAGTAACTGTTTGCTGCGATGATTATTCCGTGACGCAGATTGATGCGGATGCGCCGTTTTCAGGGGCGTTTGCGGAGGGGGCCTCGAATTGGAGGTGGGTATCGAACGTGATCGGAGTGGGGGCCAGTTTCGGGATCTTGACGTCGCTGCTGGTGGCGATGCTGGGTCAGGCACGCTACATGTGCGTCATCGGACGGTCCTGCGTGGTCCCCTCATGGTTCGCTAGGGTCCACCATTCAACCTCCACCCCGGTGAACGCCTCCGCCTTCCTCGGTATGTATGGCCCCCCTCTCTCCCTCGACCTCTCATTCTCTCTCTCTCTCTCTCTCACACACACGCACATTATTGAAAGCACCCGCCCACTTGTGATTTTATCTCAATTCTCTCTCTCTCTCTCTCTGCTTTTGCTTTTGCGCCTTTGCCGTGTTGCCTTTTCTGCCCATAACTGCTGGGATATAGGAAAAAAGGAAAAAGAAAATGCACATTTTCCGGTGCAAAAGGCCTCTACTTGGTTGTTGAGGTCGTTATTGCCATTGGATTGTGTTATGCCCTCACATGGTCACATGGTTTATAAGCCATTCTTGTTTTTGTTCTTTTGAAGTTTGAATTGTTATGCATTCATTATATACATGGTTGGGGGTTCTAATCGAGAGATAGGGAGTTCAGTTCCCGCAGCAAGTCAATCTCCACTGAAGAATCAAGGGGTGTGGTGATGGCTTGGCTTGCGTGGTAACAGTACTACCACTACTACTCCATGGGGCTCCCGAATATATTTTTCCTACTTCCCCTTCTTCTTCCTGCCGGTGTGGTGCTTGCTTAGGTTTTGATATAATAAATTGTATGTTTGTTTTGTGATGGCGATGCATCTTTTTTTTTTTTTATTTTTTTATTTTTTTAAATTCACGTGTTGTCACCACGGTCAAGATTTAGGTCGCTCGTCAAGATTTAGGAAATCTGGCCATTAATGGAATAATGTGGAGATGGGGATGTGATAAAGTAGCACTTTTTTTTGCCCTCCTTTCTTTACAGGAATATTGGTCCTTGGTCATTTTGGCCCCACTTGATGCTACGAACAGATAATTAATATTGTTAAATCGCTATCAGCCTTTGCCTATAGTAGCTAGTGCTTTGGCAACTCTAAGGGGCAGTTTGATAGAGAATCTCCCCCTCTCTATGCTGATGGCTGCTTGAGCCTTGCATATTATGTGTAGTACCTATATGTGCAACTTGCAAATATTTGTGTATTTAATTTGTTTCCCCAGCTTAGTGGATGAGACTGTTGATTGGTTTTTGGGATCGGTGGCGTTGACTGTGGGATCTAACCCAACGGAAAGGCTAAATTGCCAAAAGTCCCATGGGATTTTTTCTGTTTGTGGCCATTGCATGCTTCTGATAAACATGACATTGGTCTAGTGGATAAGAAATAGTACAACTGTACAAGGTGTGGGTTCTTCTTAAGTGACCTACCTATGGAAAGTGCATTTTTTTGACTTTCCATAGGGAATTTCGGATGATTCTTGATGCTATGTCCGCTGTCTAAATAGGCAAGACTTTTGGGTGTGGGGATATTGCTAAAATTTATTCTTTGAAAGTCATTATTTACCTATCCTGACATGTCCTTTGAAGACTTTTTAAGCTACACTGCTCTATGCCCTATACAACTTACTTGGGTCAATGAAAGTGACCTAATTCTCGTGGGGACGAGACAACATCATTGCTAATACTACTGTATATTAGGATCTGTGTACACAGTGAGTGAGTGAGTAGAGTGCTTGCTTGTACGTGTGCGTGTTCTTTTTTTATAATCTCTGAATAGGATCTTGGTTCTTGCCTGACGAGGAATTTCATTTTTACAGGGATTTTCACGGCGGCAATTGCGCTATTCACGGACCTGAACATCCTGCTGAATCTTGTGTCCATTGGAACCCTGTTCGTCTTCTACATGGTAGCAAATGCGGTGATATACCGGCGGTACGTGGCAGTGGGAACGACGAACCCGTGGCCGACACTATCATTCTTGTTCTGCTTCTCGCTGACGTCGGTGGCGTTTACACTGCTGTGGCATTTTGCCCCAGCAGGGAAGGCGAAAGCGGTGATGCTGGGCATTTGCGTGGCTCTGGCAATCGGGGTCCTGCAGGTGTTCCACTCAGTGGTCCCGCAGGCCCGGCGGCCCGAGTTCTGGGGGGTGCCGCTGATGCCCTGGATTCCATCCATATCCATCTTCCTCAACATATTTCTGCTGGGGGCTCTGGATAGGGCGTCGTATGTCCGGTTCGGGTTCTTCTCGGCGGTCACGGTGGTGGTGTATGTCCTGTACAGCGTGCACTCGAGCTTCGACGCCGAGGAAGATGGGATCCTTCTCAGTGAGAAGGCTAAGGCTACAATGGCAGTGAGTGGGGAGGAGGAACTCAAAGGGACTAGCGAGAGGGGTGATCTCAAAGCGTAGCCAGTGGTAGATGTATATGTATATGTATTAATGAATAGGGAGGAGGAGGGGTTAACAGCAGCAGCAGCAATGAATGGAATTGCAGCTGCTGCATTGTTGAGGTGGGTGATTATGATGACCCGAGGTTAGGGTGATGTATAGTTTGGTCGGGTCTGAATTAGGGGATTATTATTGTTATTATTATTATTATTATTATTTATATAGGTAGGGAGGACTGTAGGAGAAAAGATGATGATGATGAGGCCCTGATCAGGTCTGTAACAAACTCAACTGGTACATCTTTTTTAACTGGAGGGGAGAGGCGATTGGTTGCTACGAGTTAGTTATAGTAGCAGTGTAACAATTATATATGTGATGTGATGTTCTTGATCAAATGTATGTACTGGTCGTTTGAACATTAAGGGGTTGGTACTTAGGAGTTAACAAACATCGTATACTCTAATAAAATAGTAGTGATGATGTATGGGTCCGGTCCTTCAATAAGATTGTTGTTGTTGTTGTTGCTGTTGCTGTTGCTGTAATCAAGAAGTAAAGAAAGGAGAGAGAGGAAGTGGGGGAGAAGTTGATCAAACAAGAGGGTAGACAAAGTTGTTATTTGAGCTTTCGGCCAAAGATTATTATTCTATTAATTAATGGTTGATGTTGTTGTCGTCGTTAATGATTCGAAAGGATAATATGATAATGGGACTGGAGAATTAGGTGTGGGGAAGCAGAATTAGATTAGCATAGCAGAAGATGAGGCAGAACCAGAACCAGAACAAGAACCTCAAATATGATATGATGTGGTGTGTGAGAAATCCGGGATTCGAGGGGTAAAGGCGACGATTACAGGTCAGCAGCACCAATCCCCTCATCCTCCTCCTATTATTATAATACTCCTCCATCTGATAATGACATTTGACCACTTTAGAGTTTTTAGTAGTAGTAGCAGCAGTAGTATTTGTTAATTGTGGTGTGTGGTGTGGGTTTTAGTCGGAGCGTAAGAATATTAACAGTAACAGCAGTGGGGTGGAGTGGAGAGGAGAGAAATAATGCATGCTTTTAGCATCATGATCATCCCAGTCCCAACCAACCCCCCACAATTTGGATTACTATATTGGTGGTGGTATTAGTATGAGTATTAGTGTTGTTGGTATTGTTATTCCGAAATTGTTTCCTCTTTGGGTTGGGGAGTGGTGGTGGGACAGGGCAGGGGACTCCACTCCATCCACCAATATTGACTGGTCGCAATCAGCTGTCCCTTCTTGTCGTCTTTGCAGAGAGGGAGAGAGAGGGAGGGAGGCACTCAACACATGAAATTGAATTGCATCATCACTAGTACTCAGAAAAAGAATAATACACAACAATGAATGGATAAATGGGTGGATGTATGTATGGGGATGGTGGTTAGAGGGGGCAAGACAAGAGCAGAGAAGAGGCCCCTCCCTCTCCCTCTCCCCCATTACATTACACTACTACACCAAGCATAAGCATAGGATTCTTGTCACTCACTCACTCATCTCTCATCATCATCATCATCATCATCATCATCATCATCATCATCTATATATCGAATTAATTCCTTTTACCACTCCATTCTCCATCTCTCCTCTGATAAATGATAATAACAACAACAACAACAACTACTGCTATTTCACTGAATCCCCTCGCCCAATCAATCAACACATTATAGAGAGAGAGAGAGAGAGAGAGAGAGAGAGAGAGAGAGAGAGAGAAAGAGAGAGATAGATGTGTTGTGACTTGCGTGGTGTGGTCCTTCCGTCCGTCCGTCCCATGCATGCATTCATTCTCATTCGTTCATTCAAGTCAGTCCTGGTCCTCCACTATATATGTAATATTGTAAGATTGATGATGGCTTATTGTACTCACTGTAATGCAGTGGCAAGAGAAATTAAGAAGAATGAATGAATGAATGAATGAGGACATTATGGATGGATATTAGTAACTAGTAGTAATTAGTAATTGAGGGAGGAAGGGAAGGGAAGGGGGAGAGCCATGGATGGATGGTGTTGGCTTTGTAATCTATCTGACTTTGACAGTTGACACCACACCACACCACATTAATGAATGAATGAATGATGATGGATTCACTAGAGTCTACAGACTACACTGCACAATGCAATGCAATGCGCACTGACTGACACTATACAGTGAGTGATAGAAGACAAGAGAAGAGAGAGAGTTGGCTGGCTGCCATGCGCATGCAGAGTAGAACACAACAGAAGAGTACAGTAGTAACAGAGCACAAGATACTCGCTCACTCCAACGTACTACTCTGCTTACTTACTTCATTACTACATCACTTCAATGTGCCAACTGCCAAATCCCAAATCCCAATTCATTAATTAGCAGCAGCAGCAGCAGCAGCAGCAGTAGAGTAATATGCATTGTAAACATTTCTGTTTTGCACAATCAACACGAGTCTAGTCTACACTAATTGATCTTTAAACTATTCCTTACATATCTATTACTACTATCCATATTACTTACTTACTATACACCCTCTACCTTTACAGTTTCCATGCTTTTATTTGTTGCTGCTGCATTCACTTTAATTAATTTGTATCGAATTATATATTACATTTATTATGGTTACCAATGATTGTCAAGAGTCATTTTTACATTAATTCATTACTCGCTTTAGCCAGCTAGTGGTGAAAAAGACACCACCATTGCTATCTTCTCTTTAATTACCACTTTCTTCTTCTCATATTAATTTAATTATAAACAAACACAGACTAGTGGAGTGGAGTGGACAAGAAATAAGAAATGAATGTTTATCCCAACACTGGTGGTAATTAATTAATTAATTAATTAATTATTGGTGTATGAATGATCATGGAATTCAGAGGAGGGGTTATCGGTTCATGTGCATAACATAAATGGTGCATATGTACATATTTTATTACAATTAGTTAAAGAATTTAAGCATAGATAGATAGATAGATAGATGTTGAATTTAAATTATTGTGTCGACGTACTAGAATTAATAAATAAATAAATAACTAAATGAATGAATGGGGCCGGGGGACAATGAAATCAAATCAATTGTGCAAAGGTAGTGAAAGTGAAGGACGAATGGATTTTATTATTTGAATGTGGATTTGAGGCACATATAATATTGTATTTTTATTAGAAAAAATAACGAAATAGTATATACTAATAAATTAAGATAAAATAACTACTTTAGATGTCATGTGACAAAACAATTAATATTCACCCAGCATATAGAAAGAAGACACACACTTACATGATAAGGTCAGCTAAATGATCACGGAATTAAGTAAGATATCCATCTGTATATCTTGATCTGGTAGTCCACTGCACCAAAGCAAATCGATGCATATACATACATATATATATATAGATAGATACAGATGCAGAAATGATTAATATATAATTTATCATATATATATATATATCACCATTGTGCAGTCATTATCATATCAACTGATAATAGATTGCATCTTGTCCTCTTCAACACACATACACATGCACATACACTAGTATTTATTTGATGTTCCTCAAACAGCTGGTGTTGTTATCTTGACAGAGACATATTATATATATATATATGTGTGTGTGTGTGTGTGACTGATCGATCCTCCTCGTCCAATCATACTGATCAGATATAGGAAAGCCTTTGCTTTGTTAATTTGCTCAATTACTTTACTTGTTCCGAGACATAGACATATAATAAAGTTATTTATTTTATTTTGTTTTTAATTAGTGTATGTGTGTCCACATATATATATATATATATATTTTGTGTCTGAGGCTTGTCCCTCCCTCGTCTTCGTCATTCCACACAAACCAAACCAATCCATGATCATCACTTTCGAACACACCTTTTATTATTTATTTATTTATTTTTCTTTAATGAAATGAAAACAACTAAAAAAGAAATAAAGGAAGGAAGGAACAATCAATCAAACGATCCATCTTAACATATCGAATTATTTATTATTAGATTTGGAGACTACTATATGCATATGTATATGAAAATGATGAATCTGAATGAAAATCAATGGATATGTGTGCAAGTGATTCAGACAGACATTATTAAGTACATTATAAATAACTAATTTGGGCCCCAATTAAAACTACTATAGAGTTGGGCCCCAATTAAAACTAATTTGGCTAAACTACTGTTAGTACATTATTAAGTTTAAATTAAATTATTGGGCCGAGTGAATTCCGTCCACTAATCTGAAAGCCCAGCTCGGCCCATCAACAGAATAAATAACGAAGAATGGCAATGCCTTGTTGGCTGACATTGTGACTTTTTTGTTTTTCTGGCTGAACCGACAAACGTAACAGTCACCTCTTCTAAAATAAGTTGGTTCTACTAATTCGCATCGCAGGCACAGTAGAGACCTAGCCCCGCTCTCGTCTTTCCCTCCTTTCTCCTCACATCCCATTCCCCTCTTACTTTCAACTTCCCAACCTCCTTCTTCTCTGCCTTGCTCGTAATTTTTCTCTTCGACCTCGTCCTCCAATACAGGGCACCTCTGTTGTCCCGTTTTCTTCTTTGGAGGCTTTTACTTTGTATGTCCATTTCTTACACTATTTTTGAATGATTTACTAGTATCAAATTTTCAATGCCGACTGCTGTGTGTGTATGTAGGTTTGAATTGTTTCTTGTCTGTTGTAAACATTGTGTTGATTTTAAATTGATCGCAATGGCTGAAGTCAATTAGTTTAATTTCTGTTCGCTTTGTGCATTCTTTTCGGTATTGGTGGGTGGGTTCACTTTGTGTTTTTTTTTTGTTGGAAACCTTCTGTTTTTTGTTTCAGTTGGTTTAGGTGTGGATTTCTAATCTTATACAATAGTGCTACCTAGTAAGTAGTTCCTGGTTTAGGACATGGATTGGATTGGCATCATAGTCAATGAGATAGAGCTATTTGAGAGTCAGCTAGCATTTTCGTGCATCTCATGTCATGTTTATATGTTGGCCAGCCATTTTCTTTTTTGGTTAGGTTAATTTTAGCATAATTGGAAACTTGGAATCCAAAGCCACTGCTTCTTTTTTTTTTTTTTTTTTTTTCTAAAGAAATTATGTAAGTTAAAATGTTGTTTGGAGCTCCAGCTTCTAGAACACAGTATTCTGGAATGTTGGTTTATCCAAACCAGTATTCTAGATTCCAAGTTTGGTTAATAGCTCTGCAATTATGATTATGAATGTGATTCTTAACACTGCAATCATTTCAGAATATGTAGTTAATTGCTTGGTGCTGTCCTTCTCAGTTTTATCAATCTGTTATTGATGCTTGACAACTCCATAGGGATTAGTTTCCAAGGAGAGCGAATAAGTATGTTGGACATTAATCTCTTTCGTGAAGAGAAGGGCGGAAACCCTGAGAAAATCCGGGAGTCACAGCATCGTCGGTTTGCCAAGGTTGATCTTGTTGATGAGGTCATTGAGCTTGACAAAGTTTGGAGGCAACGTAAGCATTCCATTTGTAACTTCTATACCTCCTTAATGCTCCCCCATCACCTCATATTGTGAACTCAGCATCATCTACGCATGGTTGTAGGACAATATGAGTTGGATGGCCTGAGGACAGACAGGAACAAAATTAGCAAGGAGATTGCTCGTCTCAAAATTGTGAGTCCTCCTATACTATTACTTGTTTTCTGGAAGATGCATTATTCTTAGTTAAGGTTGTTAGATCTCCTTTTTGCTTGTTGAACTATATTGTTTTTAGGGTTTAAAGCCCATCAAAAAATATTTACCTATATTTATTTTGCTCCATGATGATTGAGCATGTGAATTGGCCAACTTCCAAGAAGGTTTAGCAGCTAAATTCTTAGTGATCTAATTATGTGTGTGTGCATTTTCTGTCTTTTGGCTAGTAAAGCATGGGATAATTCATAGATCTTTGGGCTTTGATTAGATATTGACTGAGTCTTTATTATTTTGCAAGTCTGGGGAAGATGTCAGCGGAATGATCAAAAGCACTGAAGAAAACAGAGAACTAACTGCCAAGAAGGAGGCAGAGGTGCACTAGGCCCTGGAAGCAGTGCAGTTGAGACTGGGAACTATTGGAAACCTTGTGCATGGTTCCTGTCAGTAATGATGAGGTGCGTCTCATTTTCATTTTCTGTTACTTCTGTGCTCAGCAATGTTCTTTTTTTATCTTTTCGGCAGTAAATGATGAAATCTTGTATAGGCAAACAATGCAGTAATTCGGTCATGGGGAGAGAAGCGAACTGAACCAAAACTGAAGAATCATGTGGAGCTTGTTGAGCTTTTGGGAATTGCAGACACAAAGAAAGGTGCTTTATGCTTTTCGATTTCATTTTGTAAATTGTACTTGCATAACTGTGCTAAACTGCTAAATGCTTACCCTTTTATATTTTTTGTTATACTTGAATAATCTGAGTGGCCGGCAGTATTACCAAAAACGGAGGGAACTTCAGCGGTGTATTGTGTGCATTCATTTTTTGTAATAACATCTGGCAAAACCTATTGATCTACAAGCTATAATATGTTTCGGTTGTGTGCTCCTAGTTTGACTTGGGGTTTTGCATGGATGTTCTTGTATGAGTGTTCAATACTAATGATTAAGTAAGTTTATACTTGTTTGATAATTGAGTTGTTGAATAATTAATTACATATATTGTTATATGTTATTTCACAATTGATATGTTTATGAGAAAAATGAATTATATTAATTCACTTAAACAACATTATATAAAAAATTAATAAAATAAGAATATACTAAAATGATCTTTCTATGGAACATAAATTTAAACATATATTGATCTTATATGAATAAACAGCTGTGTTGAAAAAAATTGATAGTTAATATATTCAAATTCTTTTTGTTGATTGTAATTATTGAAAAATAAATCTGAAAAGCATTAAGAATTCATGCAAAATATGAAATGAAATGAAAATATAGTGGCCGTTTTAATTTATTTTAATTTCCATATTTATCAGTCAGCCTATAAGTTTTATACAATCACTTAGTAGGCTTTGAATTATATAGGTGCCAATGTGGCTGGGGGTAGAGGTTTCTATCTCAAAGGTGATGGAGTGCGACTTAATCAAGCTCTGATTAACTTTGCCCTTGATTTTTTGGAGAAGAAAGGTTTTACTGCATTGCAAACTCCTTTCTTCATGAGGAAAGATATTATGGCTAAATGTGCACAGTTGGCACAATTTGATGAAGAACTTTACAAGTTAATTTCACATTTACTTGATCATGAACTGTTATCAATTAATTGGACTCATATCATACTTTCCTAAATAAAATGACACGGAGGGGTCTATTCCCTATTATATATAGAATAAAATTAGTCTTGTATGAAGACAATGTAATGTAATATTATATTTTCTTTGATGGATTGTTCATCCATATGATTATTTTTGTTGTTCCAAAATACCCTTATTAAAAATAGTATGTTTCTTATTTATGTTTGATAATAATTTATATATTTAAAAACTAAATGATTGTAGATTTTATTGAATTGTAAATATTGTAAAGAACTAGTGATGATTATGGATTGATTTTTCTATAAATATTACTATATAACAGTTTCTTTGTTTTAGTTATATTTGAAAATATTAACCATTTAATTTGATTGTCTATATTATAACCATAGAGAAATCACTCTATCAAATTAAAAGTGTAGTTGAAAGAAAAAACAGATGGACTGTTTACATTAATATGGGTTTTCACGAATAATTTAGCTTGGATTAAAGTTGTTTGATGGATTATTATTCTCTATTTGGCCTTAATCTATGTGGCCAACCGTTCTTTTATGACTTAATCATTTGCTACAATTTTTATATTTGTTTCTACTTTAAAATTTGAATGAAAACCATTTGGATTTTGTGGGAGCTGAGATTGTGGTTAACTTGTTTGTGCTTAACAGGTTACTGGTGAGGGAGATGATAAGTATCTTATTGCAACAGCTGAACAGCCACCTTGTGCATATCATCTAGATGATTGGATCCATCCGTCACAGCTCCCTTTGAAGTATTGTACCTATGATCAGCAACCTCTTTAACAATTTGTGGTTAGCATAATGAAGAATTTGTTGCTAGCTCCTAGCTGCAAGCTGATGTTTCTAAGCACAAATTGTTCTATCAGGTATGCTGGATACTCATCATGTTTCCGTAAAGAGGCTGGCTCACATAGTTGAGATACCCTGGGAATTTTCCGTGTTCACCAATTTGAAAAGGTGGAACAATTCTGTATTACCAGTCCAAATGGAACTGATTCTTGCGAGATGCATGAAGAGATGCTAAAAAATTCAGAGGATTTCTACAAGCTGGTATCTTTTTCAACTTATTTTTCCAGAATTATTGTCTCAGATTGTAGGCATTCATATCCTTTTGCCCAACATTTTGTTTTGATTTGTGTGTGTGTGTTTATATGTATCTGTTTGCTTTGGTTAGTGCCTATGATTAGCATATCACTCGGTCATGGTTCTTGAATATTGTATTTTTCTCTCCGAGCAGCTTAAAATTCCATATCAAGTCGTATCTAGTGTCTGGTGCACTGAATGATGCCGCTGCAAAGAAGTACGACTTAGAAGGATGGTTTCCGGCATCACAGGCTTATAGAGAGCTTGTGTCCTGCTCAAACTGCACAGATTATCAGTCAAGAAGATTAGAAATCTGTTATGGGCAAAAAAAGGTGAAGTTTTGTTTTGATCACTGGGATTTTGCTGTATGCTTTGCTATTAATCAAAGCATGTGGATGGGTGATTTGTAGGAGCTAAGCAAAATATGCTAAATGCTTCTATAGATTTTTCTAGAATTTTGTGTTGTTAAGTTTCTTCTTTGAATAAGGATTAGCACTGACAAATGTTTTTGCAGAGGAACGATAAGGTTAAGGAATATGTTCACATGTTGAACTCTACGTTGAGCGCCACGGAGAGGACAATTTGCTGCATTCTGGAGAACCACCAGAGGGAGGATGGGGTAGAAATACCGGAGGTTCTAAGAGATTTCATGGGTGGGAAAAGCTTCATTCCTTTCAAGAACCCTCCCACGAAAGAGGCCGAAGGGAAGAAGACCAAGGAATGAGAATCATGAATAATAAACTCTCGAGACTTGGTTGTTTGGAGGGGGATTGTTTAATGGATGCACCCGGGAATGCTTGCTTACTCCATTTGTGCATTAAATTATGTAGGTTGGCGGCACTGATTTATTCATTGCAAGGATGTGTTTTCTTTGTAAGGATGGTTCAAATTATTTCTGATTTTTTAGACTGAAAACACACGAGGAGTATGATGATGCTGAAGGCCATCTCTATCGTAAGCCAGTGAAGATTTTGATGAAAGAGAGGACTGCTATTAGTTTGTTAACTTAACTCATAATTCCCTCGGTTGTCAATACTTGCCTTATCATTGGTTGTATTTTCCTATGAGAGTGCTCGGGCTTGTGCATTCCAAACAAAGGTTGGCTAATTTTGATTTGGTTTATGTAACTCTATCCAGCTTTTTATCAAACAATGTATCAACAACTTTTCCCATTGTACTGGTAGTATCATCATCATCATCATCATCTACCAAGTTCGCAATCTCATGCTCCTATATTTATTTTTACAATTCAAGCACATCTATAAGTATAATCGTGCCCCGATTCTCATTTCAAATTGAAATGCAGTTCATGAATCAATAAAACCTACTTTGGGAGCAGTCTGTCATAAAGGTTTAAAGAAAAGTGGATGACTTAGCAAAGATAATTGTTTGTTCAAGAAGCAAGTAATAAGAAAAGATGATCCATAACAGAGCTGAGTCGGCTTTAATAGTGAAATGAAAATGTTTTAGAGGCAACATTAAGAGCCCTACTACCAAAACAGATAAAAATCCTTGAAAGGTTGTGGTTGAAGGCTCTGATCAACCTCAGTATCTCCTTCCAAAAGCACCACCACCGCGACCATAGGCCGGGGCAGCAGGCAATGCTTGTTCTGCACTCTGCTTCACCACTCCAGGAAGTTCACCCATGCCCAGGGTTGCAAGCATCTCCAATGTCTCATTGTCAACTTCAATGAGATCAGTCCTAATGGCAGATTCATCTGGAACAAAGTCCATCCGCCTCTCACGCTCCTCTTCCTGCAGCTTTAGCGAGATGCCACGAACCGGCCCCTTTTGGATGCGCTTCATGAGGTGAGTGGAGAACCCAGCAATCTTGTTGCGCAGCCGCTTGGAAGGAATGATGGCAACCTCCTCCAGGATTTTCTTGTTTGTGTGGAAATCCAAAGTCATCTTGGAGTAATACCTCTCAATCACCTGCCGGGATGACTTCTTTACAGTCTTGGTACGCACTCGACCCATATTGACAGCAGCACCTTACAACTTGAACCTGATCACACACAGCCACATCATTTACCAGTTATACAGAATATCGAATTTCAGCATCTAAACAATACACAATCAAATATGAAAATCCAATTTAAACACACGGGCATGTTAATAATGAATTCACATATATGCATGCAATAATCAATAGCTTGTGAATCTATAGAAAACCCTCCCTCCAGCACCAGTTATTGTATCTATAAAAAGGGATGGAGTATGGCAGGCTAACTTACTAATTTATTAGGCAAAATAATCACAAGTTAACACCAGAGCAGTTCTTAAAAATATTTTGAGATACATAGTATAAAGAATTGCACTGTCATTCGTTTTATCCATACATAAATATAGACCGTCTCCACCTTAAGAGTTCAAAACAAGAAGATCAGAACTGCAAACCCTCCTACAACCTAAACACGGAATACATTCACTTGCAATAACAAAATAAGTACCTAGAACTTGTTTATTTTGAAGAAGCATAATAACAACAGAGCGATTGCCAAATAAAAGGCAAGTGCAAAAGTCTCAACTAAATTCTAAACAGTAAAATTTCGTTTTCGCATGTGAGAATCAACACAAAAAACGCATCTTTCTAACAGCGATGCGATCAAGAAAGATGGGCATAACAACGCTCTCCATTGCAGCACATGACAGATAACAATTTACCAAGGCCATACTGATAATATCAAGACGTAAACAGAAATGATGCGCAAAGATTTACCGGAAAATTTGAGCGAACGGCGATGGATGTGGCTCTGGCAGCAGATGCTTGGTGCGTGGCGTGCGAACGAGGGAGGAGGCACAGACACTTATATACAAGCAAAAATCCAGGCTTTTGCGAATTAGGGTTTTGAGTTTGCTCTTATCTTGGGGCCAAGGGTTTGGATTGGGCTTTACCCAATTTTGGGCCGTAGTTATTGTGATGTTTCTTTATCTCATTTCACAGTGAATTAATACAAATGACTGCCCGGTCTGATTAAAGGGCAGCGCACCCACCGGATCCTTCGTCAATGGATATTGTCTCCCTCTCTTGCACCGTTCATTATGCTACCGCTCCGGGTCCTTTCTCCGCTTCCACTCTCGCCGGGAAACACTACCCCGCCATCATCTCCTCCGCTGTGGGTTCAGCCTCATCAAATGACTCCTCTGATGAATCCACCACTGCCTCCGCAGGCCTCCGCCGCCCTTCCTCGGTGAAGCTCCCAAAGACCCCCACCATACGCTCGTCTCAACTTTCTGAGAACCCGCTCAAGACATTTCTTGATGCCCACCACAATCCGACCCCGACGCGGTCCTCTGTCCGCAATTCATCATCTCGAGATGTTCTGTCCGATAAGCTCTGGCTGTCCAGCAAACTCTCCCCTCCGCCGCCGCCCCCGCCGCCGCCGCCTCTGCTACAGGAAACACTCGATGGAGATTGTGAAAATGGGGTTTTGAAGAATTCAGAAGAAAATGAAAAGGAAGTGGATTTTAGGGAAAAAGGTAAGATTTTTGTGGGCAATTTACCTCTTTGGATTAAGAAACACGAGCTTGCTGAGTTTTTCAGGCAGTTTGGACCCATTAAGAATGTCATTCTGATAAAGGGTCATGATGATATGGAGAGGAATATGGGATTCGGATTTGTGTTGTACAGTGGACACACAGCCGAAAAGGCCGCAATGAAAGCTGTGGAGTTTGATGGGGTGGAGTTTCACGGGAGGGTATTGACTGTGAAGTTGGATAATGGGAGCAGAATGAAGGAGAAACATGGGGAAAGGGAAAGGTGGGTGGAGGCCAAAGGAGGGGATGGGAAAGAATACAGGTCTAAGTGGCATGAGGAAAGGGAAGGTCTGCGCAAGGAGTTCCGAAGGGTCCTGGAATCTCAACCAGGGAACTGGCAGGCAGTTGTGCGGGCTTTCGAGGTGATTAGGAAGGTAAATTTTGGTATTTGACAGGTCACACAAGCTTTCTCTTTCAATATTTACAAGAGAAGTTACAGAAATTCTTTATCTTGGTAAATTTCACTGCATGGACATGCTTGAGTTCAATATAGATTACTGTTTAACCAAAAAACTTCCTTTCTGCAGCCTAGCGCGTGCATATGCCATATGGGTTAAGATACTTGTCGGAGTGAAATAGGCGTAATCATATTCTCTCATAACATCCAGACACTTGTTCTGTGTGGATATGTAACTCTTTTCGGTGAATTTTGCAGCCTTCGAGAAGAGAGTTTGGTTTAATGGTGAACTATTATGCCAGACGAGGAGACATGCACCGTGCTCGGGAAACATTTGAGAAGATGCGGGCCCGTGGAATAGAGCCAACTTTACATGTATATACAAAGTATAGTTTTTTATGATTTAGTTTTAGATGTTCAATGATTGAATTTTAGCTCATTGATATTTCTTGAATTGGTTTAACACGTGTCATTGTGTGTAGAATTTTAAATTCTTGATCATATTTATATATGCCTATAAATTAGATTGATTTGATATTATTATTATTATTATTTCCGCAATTTTCAAATGCTCTATGCATATTGAAGTTAAGCAAATGGAACAGGATTGAAAATCCTGCACTATACACCGATGTTTAGTAATATCAAGTCATAGTATTTATCCATTATTACAAGAAGTTAACTTGTCATTCTGCAGCCTCATTCATGCTTATGCAGTAGGCAGAGATATGGAAGAAGCATTGTCATGTGTGAGAAAGATGAAGAACGAGGGAATTGAGATGAGCTTGGTGACGTACAGTATTATTGTTGGAGGTTATGCAAGAGTTGGGAATGTTGAGTAAGTGGCAATGTGTTTCATGTATTATGTGATATTGTCAATTTGTCATATGAGTTTTATTGCCAGTTGAAGTTTGATTCTTGTGTCTTTGATAATATTCACTTCATGATGTCCTTAGTTGCTCACAATTGCCTTAGATGTCTAATATCCATCTAAGTACCAAAATTTTATGCCATTTATTATTGGATGGCTTGTTTCTTGTTATGTGACTTACTACGTTTTCCCATTTGTTTTTAAGTATTGAACTGCTCTTTGCTATGCTCCGCATTCAATTTTGCTACTTCTCTAACATTTCTTTCTGCTGTTTGTGAAAGAGCTGCGGAGCATTATTTTAAGGAGGCGAAAGAACAACTTACTGCCCTAAATGCAATCATCTATGGGAACATAATTTATGCTCATTGGTGGGTTGATTCCAGCGTTTACCAAGTACTGTTTTCTAAGTCTATCTCAATATCCCCTCTAGAAAATATGTTCTCCGTTCTACTTCCACGTAAGAGTTGTGCTTATTGATTTGCTTAAGGCCATCCTAGGATCTAGTATCTATGTAAGTGCTTCTTTTTGTTGTATATATATGTAATAAATAAACTTAGATATCTGTATATGTGTATATGTTCAATGTGTATATATATGTAATAAATGAACTTAGATATCTGTATATGTTCTACGTTAAGATTTTGATAGCCTTCTGTGATCGAACTCTTGACTTCAAAATGGTTTATATTTGTCCATAAGCAGACACCATTTTCAGAAATGGAAATGATTCACTTGAAAAATATGAGGTTTTGCTTGGTGAGTGAACAAAATATCTGTTAAAAGGGTGTATCATGAATGAAAGTTATGTGATAAGGTCAATTTATATGCTGTTTTTCAGATGTGACTTCTTTGAATGTATTTTTATATTGACATACTCATTGAGATCATTTTATTTATCACAAATGCAGCCAAGCTTGCAACTTAAAACGCGCCGAAGCATTGGTAAGGGAGATGGAAAAAGAGGGCATTGATGCTCCGATTGATATATATCACACTATGATGGATGGTTACACTATGATCCAAAATGAAGAGAAATGTCTAATGGTTTTTGATAGACTTAAGGTAAAGTTTTGTGCTATTGTAAAAATGGTGTTGATTGTTGACTCTGTTCTTTATTATGAAAACCTTTTTGAGAGGTGAACATGCTTTCAAATTGCTTCAAGGTATCAAGTTCGTATGCAATATTTAAAGGTCACATTTAGATGATATGAAGATATTGCTTACTCAGAGGTTTGTTGTTGCTATAGGAATGTGGCTTTACTCCTTCAATAATCAGTTATGGATGTCTCATCAATCTTTATACGAAGGTAACTGCGTACCTAGAGTATCAACTTGACAGTGTATTAACCCTTTTCTTTTGTTGTGCCAATTTTTTTAGATGCTGAGAGTTGACTGCTTTTGTACCTTCACAGATGGGGAAAGTTTCTAAAGCTTTGGAAGTCAGTAGAGAGATGAAACAGTCGGGCATAAAGCATAACCTCAAGACATACTCCATGCTGATCAATGGATTTATTAATCTCAAGGACTGGGCTAATGCTTTTTCAATCTTTGAAGATGTAATACTAGACGGCATAAAGCCTGATGCAATTCTTTTCAATAACATCATAAGGGCATTTTGTGGCATGGGGAACATGGAACGCGCTATTCGCACAGTTGAAGAAATGAGAAGGGCCGGACACAGACCTAGTTCCAGGACATTTATGCCCATCATTCATTCTTTCGCCAGGGCTGGAGAAATGAGAAGAGCGCTCGATGTTTTTGATATGATGAGGAGGAGCGGGTGCATTCCAACCGTGTACACGTACAATGCTTTGATTCTTGGCCTGGTTGAAAAGCGACAGATGGAGAAGGCTGTGGCTATATTGGATGAGATGCTGGTTGCGGGCGTAAGTCCTAATGAGCACACATACACTACCATAATGCACGGTTATGCGTCTGTAGGGGACACTGGAAAAGCGTTTGAGTACTTCTTTAGGGTTAAGAAGGAGGGGCTCGAGCTTGATGTGTTTACGTACGAAGCATTGCTCAAGGCGTGCTGTAAGTCAGGCAGGATGCAAAGTGCTTTGGCAGTAACGAAGGAAATGGGCGCCCGAAACATTCCGCGGAATACTTTCATCTACAACATATTAATCGATGGATGGGCACGCAGAGGCGATGTTTGGGAGGCGGCGGATTTGATGCAGCAAATGAAGGAAGAGGGCGTGCAGCCTGACATCCATACGTACACGTCTTTCATCAATGCTTGTTGCAAGGCTGGAGACATGCTGGTACCATCATATATAACTTTGCTATGATAACTTGGCTAACTTGGCGACTACTACATATATATATATATATACACATGAAGCAGCCCTGGCCTTATTAGTATTATTATTATTATATGGTGTGTTTGTTTGTTTTATATATGGCAGAGGGCAACGCAGACAATGGAAGAGATGGAAGCTGTTGGGGTGAAGGCGAACATCAAAACGTACACAACGCTGATTCACGGGTGGTCGAAAGCATCCCTCCCGGAGAAGGCACTGAAATGCTACGAGGAGATGAGGCAGGCGGGGGTGGAGGGGGACAGGGCGGTGTACCACTGTTTGATGACATCGCTGCTGTTGCGGGCGTCCATGAACATGTCGGTGGCTGAAGAGGAGAGCTACATCCGGAGGGGTATCATGGAGGTGTGCGAGGAAATGGTGGAGGGGGGGCTGAGCGTGGACATGGGGACTGCGGTGCACTGGTCAAGGTGCCTGAGGAGGATTGAGAGGGGGGGCGGCGCGATCACGGAAGCCCTTCAGAAGACGTTCCCGCCGGACTGGAACTCTCACAAGAATCTGAATGCGATTTCTGAGGAGCTGGAGCTGGAGCTGAGGGAGGAGGGCCTGCTGCAGGGTGATCCTGCTGACCCCCGTGCTTATCTCAGTGATTCTGACGACGATGGCGGGCAATCCTGATCAAACGAATTACTTGCAGCATAGGTTTTAACTAATTAACATGTACGTATGTAATGTATGTATGAATGTTTTCGGCATGCAGCAGCAGGAGGTTAGTTGTCGATGGGTGGCTATTTTGATAAAGTAGTTTTCAGTTGCACTGTCACAGTGTTGTGTGATATATATATATATATATATGATGTGATTATTAGTATTCTACATACATATATATGTGTGTGTGTGTGTGTGATGTGGCTTTATGCTTATACTACAACGACTGCTGCTGCTGCTGCTATTATTATTATTATTATTATTATTAGTTAAACTTGCTCATCTCAAATTGCATATATAATAATCGTGCCGTGCAGAGTAGTTGAGTCATATTACTTCAGTTCTTCCATCATATACTAATTAATAATAATATGAGGAGATGGAAAGAGGGAAATGAAATGCTGGGTGGTTGTTCAATTTTGAGATTATTACGTACCGCAGTAGCCAGCCAGCCAGCCAGCCATGTCTATATATATTGATGAGGACTGAGTAGGATGGATATATAATAATTTTGAATATATATAATACTAGTACGTAATTCAAGGGAGGCCGCCATAATTATTTGCTTCTTTTCACCTTCTTGGAAGTTCATTGGCAAATATTTTATTAATATCATCAATCATTGAACTAATTATTAATTAATTAATTAAACAATATTAGTATTAATCTAGCTAGAATTACTAGTGTACAGTTAATAATTAATTTGTATGTATATATACATACTGATACCGATCAGTGTCGTCGGGTTTGTCTGCCAGTATGCAAACAGACGGTCAAATCAATCATATAATGCATGCATGTGTTTATTCACTCATTATATTAGAGAGCATCCACAGCAGATCGTTTCTCTCAACTTCCACATTATCAATTGAAGAAACCACCTATGCCGATGGTTTTAGGCTACCTTTCTAATCATATACTTTTATAATTACAAAAACATACATATGTACATACACATAATATATATATATATATATATACGATCATATCCAATCAAGGCAAGCAACTCCATTATATCCAGCGCACACACACGAACCAACGATTAGTAATGATCTATTAATAATGGATGCCGCAATGGGATTGGGGAGGTACTAGACATGGATCAGACATGCCCATGCTAGGTAGGTAGATGCTAAGCGTTTATAATTAATTAATTAACTAACTAATTATTACCTTTATAGCATAGGCGTGTCTGATGACCGATGAACTTAATTAATTAGTTAATTAATTAATTGGATCGTCATTCACCCTCTCTTCCCTCTTTAATTTGGATTTCTGTTTTTAATGCACGATATGGATCGGATCAGATCGAGCTTATGTATGTATGCATGCATGCTTACGCGCGGTGTTCTTTTTATATATATAATCTCAAGTATATTTTTGTGTGTTGGGAAACTAATATTATAATATCGATGATGATGCATGGCGGAATGGATACATTGTGGTGGTGGTTGTAATTAATGCAACAAAATAAAGTAATAAATTAACCTTAGCTTGTCATTCATCAAAATATATATGCGAGTGAATGTTAATTACATACATATATACATGGTTATTGTCGTCTTCCTTTTTTTTATTTATTTGGAATTCACAACACTCACTGAGGTAATAATCTATATATGATGAGATAAGACCATAATTTTTTGGTTTAATTTGATTTGAAGCACGACATAACATGTATATGTACTTGATCCATCCATCGATATTACTAAAAGAACATTTATTGGGTGGGGATGGGGGCGGGAGGGAGACACACACGCACTGACATGTCGCGCGGTCAATCAAATATTTCACCTAATCTGTGATCACAATTTAATGTAATATAAGGAAAGTGATCGTCTCCACAGAGATTGTGTGATTCACTCTTTCGTGTTTTAGTGCAGTAAATAAATGAAGAATTTTCTTTTATTATCTAGTGAAAATAAAATAACAAAGCAATTAAATTAAGGGAACTACTGTCAAGGGGATGTCTGGCTCAAGAGATGATGCAGTTATAACAATTGTATTTTATCATTAATTCAATAAAGTTAATTCTTATTAAAGTATCAAAAAATTGGTTATAGTTATCAACAAGCTTTGACAATCAATTTTTTCTTACTGTGTAGGTAATTAAGGTACGACCGTTAACTACCCCTAATTAAGCAAATAAACCTAGGTGCGCCCATAAGAATATTGCCTAACCGCATTGTAATCTAGAAAAATCCAATTCAAAACAATTACTACCTAGGAGGAGCAATTAGATTTGATTGTCTAACCCCGAGAATGAACTATTCAACCCGGTTGTCACATATTCAAGTGCAAATACAATTACGGATATCCTACCTGAATTGACTTTAGATTATCAGACTAATTTAAATATCGGTACCAAAATATTCCATCAATCTAACCATCAGCTATTTTTAGAATTAAACAAATATTGATAATAAAAAAGAACTTTTATAAAGAAAATCAAGAATCTCCAAAACAAAAGAACCAAAATATTATTACCCCTCAAAGCAGAAAAGTATCTACTCCATAATCAAATAACAAAGAACAAAAGAAAAAGATAAAGTCATAGTGGGAGGGGGAAATCTTCTCTGTCTATTTGCTCCTGCGCGATTTACGAGTCTGTCAGTTTCCTGCTTCTGCGCGATTTACGAGTCTGTCAGTTTCCTGCTCCTGCGCATATCTGTCCTAGCTGTTCTCCCCTCTCGATAGGCGTGTGTTTTTCTCTTCTTATTTAATTTTTGCCCTAATTATTTTGTAGATGGGTTTTTTGGCGTTCAATTAATATCTCATATCAAAGGTGATCATGACTAACTAGGTTGTGCAAATCTGAATTTTTTTTTATTTTTTCTGCCAATTATGCCAAATTTGATATTTTCCGCTGCTCACACAAATAAACAATTCGCATATAAATTAGGTAGAATTCAATCAAAACCACTCAAATATCGCATATGATATAAACATTATATTTCCAACTATCATATATATATATATAACCCATATTTAAAAATTAAATAGATAGCTAAGAAATAATACATATCCCACATGCATGATATATCGATGAGAATCATCAAGTCAACTACATACTTTGTGAGGGAAGGGGAATGGATATACATGCATATTTTATCTTATTGATTCGATGGCCTAATAATTAATAATGAATAGGTCATGATAATATAATGAATGATTCATGGTGATGGTAATGGTAATGGGGGCATCAAACTGAGAAATGCCCTCCCTCCCTCCCTCCTATACATTATTATTATTATTATTATATATAACAACTTAATTAATTAACCAATCAGAGTCAGCCATATATGCATCATTACGAAACTATTAAATGTATATGCATGCATGCATCATCGTGCTTTAATTTTATTAATATAAATAAGCTCATGATAATGTTCTTTAATTGATCTCAAGCTCGTCTCTCTCTCTCTCTCTCTCTCTCTCGGTAGACGAATGAGTGAATGAATTATGAATGGGGGGAAGGTCAATGGGTAATGGAGTAGATATTGCATTGATAACTTGAGACTCGCTAGCTAGTAGTAGTACCAGAATTAATTAGTTAAGTAGGCCATTCATTCATCCATTAACTAATAGTAGTAACAAGTCAGCTGCATGCGTGCGTACAGAGGTATTGTAAACTTATTAACTCAACTCAACTCAACTGATCACCTAGCTGCTACTACACTACGTACGTATGTACCTGCAACTGCAACTGCAGGGCTGTCTATAATATATATTCTCCTAGCTCATCCAACTGCATGCATCTTCTATCCATCCATCCATCTCTCTATCCATCCATGTACAAAAGTAGTAGTAGTAGTAGTAGTAGTATATAATATATATTTCATTCTCCTTCAACTCTCTCATTAATTAAGAATTAATTAGTAGAAAGAACCATGCTAGCTCGCAATTGCATCCTAGCCTAGTTAGGGTCAGGTGCACATCTGATCGATCACGGTTGAGGCGGCATTAATTAATTACTCGCACGTCGCACCACCCCCGCCCCATTCACTTCACTTCACTTCAATTCAACACTTCATTAATAATAAATACCTACCTACCTAGCTCGCTATAGGAGAGGTGGGCTTGCAATTATAAAGCACACATGATACATATGATAGTGTTATTCATGTTATAATTATCGTATGGGTATGCTATGCAGAGCAGGGTATGGCCCTCTATCGATGGATGGATGGATGGATCGATGATCTTCTCCGACAAATAAAACAATTATATATATATATATATTATTAATCTCGATCTGTCTGTGTGGATCCTTAATCTCCTTAATTCCCACTTTCCTCCCACATACATACATAGATGCATACATGCATTCATACACCCTCATTAATTACTCATTATAAATATAATTAATTATTCATTCATCACCCACCCACCCACAAACACAAGTACAAAACACTGCTGCTAGATGTGGGACCTGCAGGTTGGGTGGGTGGGTCATGTACTGTCCAAGAATTATATCTTCCTTTTAGCTGCTTCGCAGTTACAGCTCATCACCCTCATAATACTAATATATATATATATATATACACATAGCGGCAGAAGGAGGGGATGAGCTATAACTTGACGATATAAGCGCATCTGCACAGCAGCACCTGCATTCCGCTCTGCATCCCAAATTAAGAAGAATACCCATAAATCCATCCATCCATCCTGAGACACACAGAGAGAGAGAGAGAGAGAGAGAGAGAGAGCTGAAGAACCAATCATATATAGCCGCTCGCCATACACATCTCATCTCATCACCACAACTTGGCTCGCTCGCTCGATTGTAATATAGATAGATGTATGTGTGTCGAGGAAAATCATGAAGATCCCTTCCATTTTGAAGAAGCCCAAGCAGCGGCTGCAACAATGGCAATGGCCAGCAGCAAGAGCCTCGTGCAAGCACCCCAGGACCCTTTCTTTCCGAGCTGCTGGAGGCCGATCCGCCGACGATGTCTACAAGACCCTCAACTCAGTCTTCCTCGACCCCTCCACCTCCTTCCATCATGAAACCCCCGATTCCTGGTGGACGACGACCTTCACCAACACTTGTACTACTACTACTACTACTACTACTAACAATAACAATAACAATAATTCCTCCGACTCTGGTCATGGTCATGATCATGACCAGTCGTCCTCCATTGAGACAATCATCCGGCGGGTCAAGCTGTCGTCGGACCGGCTCTTCTTCAAGCCCGAGCGGACCAGCTCCATCCTTGACAAAGCTCATGATCAGATAGAGTTAGAATTAGAAGCAGAAGAAGCAGCGATCAGGACGGCATCATCAAGGACATCATCATCATCAGATGAAGATGATGATGATCTGCTGGTGCTGCTGCCGCCATTCAAGGAGAGCGTGGCCCTAGCGGTGGAGTCGGAGGACCCGTACACGGACTTCAAGAGATCGATGCAGGAAATGGTGGAGACCCACGGGCTGGTCAAGGACTGGGACTGCCTGGAGGAGCTGCTGGGCTGGTACCTCCGGATGAACGCCCACGCCAACCACGCCCTCATCGTCGCCGCATTCCTCGACTTGCTGCTCCTGCTGCAGCACCAGCACCAGCACCAGCACCGACTAGCAGCTGTAGACAGCGCTACTACTTCATCGGATCTCACGTCCTGCTACTCTTCTGCGGAGTCCTGCTTCTCATCACCGGGGGATCACCATCATCAGCTGGATCGTCCTCATCATTTGGGAGTGGGGGATAATTATATTGACGAGGATCATGTGGATGTACTACTTGGAGGAGCTGCAGCAGGTGGCCGCTAGCTGGGTGTAATACGTTGTAACTTGCATTGTACATTACTAATTGATTGGTCGATTCATTAATTAATGAGAATCACATGACATGAACTTCAAACGCATCAGCCGTGTCCGTGTGTGTGTGTGTATTCATTGCAGGAACCAACACTACTACTGCAGGTGACTACCGTACGTATGTATGTATGGTATTTTTGTTGGTAGCCAACGACGACTACCCATACTAGCTCGGTCGGTCTTAGGGTTGAAGAAGAAACCAGTGGGGGGGCGGGGGCGGGGCGGGATATAGATGTATTATTTGTTAATCACCATGACATGACAGACACAGCCGCACTGCTGGATTAGCTTAACTTAGCTAGCTAGTGGCGCCATTGCTTGCTTGCTTGAGTCGAATCAACTTGGATCATGCCATGTCCGCTATAAAGTCTGGATTGCAGATAGACAGACAGACAGATAGATAGTGTGCAAGAGGGGGAGGGCAGGCAGGCAGAGGTTGAGAAAGGTGAGGGTACGAACAAACCGAAGCAAAGCAAAGCCAGCCAGCAAAAGGGACCCCAACCCCAACCCCAACCCCATTTGGTACCTACCTTCCTACCAACCTAATTCTCAACCGCTTCCTCCTCCTGCCAATATACACTCTGGTGCAATGAATGCTACATGTGTAGTGTTTGACAAGGAAACACCAGCAGCAGACACTGAGGAGACTCCCCTCACCACGCAACCCACATTACATTTGATTATTCATTCCGCACCAATTTGGGAACACTCACAAGTCACAGATGCCTTCTCCCTCCCATGACACGACTCACTCACTCACTTCCCAAGTCACAGATGCCTCTTCTCCCTCCCATGACAACACTCACTCACTCACTCCAAGTCACAGATGCCTCTTCTCCCTCCCATGACACGACTCACTCACTCACTTCCCAAGTCACAGATGCCTCTTCTCCCTCCCATGACTCGACTCACTCGCTCACTTCCCTGCATTCTCATATATATATCTATCTATCTATCCCAACCCACAAACATTTCCATCCAAAACGTCCACCCATTAACTCACTCAATGCAAGCGCGCATTGATGGTATCTTAAGGCCAACCAGTAACCATAGATGCGGATGGAGTTAACAGATTGCAGACAACAATACATTTTCTGTGCTATTAAATCTCTTCCCCCCCCCCCCAGCATTTTCATATGCACTGCAATTTTAACAATTGGAGAGAGAGAGAGGGTGAGATTATTGGGTCCTTCACTTTTCAAATACTTCACATAATGGACTGTCACCATCGCATGCACCAACACGACGATAGCGAGAAGGAACACTGCAAGCAACTTACTTTAAGAAAACATAATCACGACTGCTAGGTAACATGTCAAACTCACAAAGCAGTGCACAGCCACAGCCACATTATCTTCAAAAGTAGTTGCAAAAATTTCCAAATATGACAACTTAACAGCAGGGGGAGGGGGAGAGGGAGGGGGGAGGGGTTAATGCATAACCTTAGCTCATTCATCCAGGGTTCCAAGAACGGCTAAGGGTACGCAGGCACAAACAACTGCCAAGATAAGCAAACGGTCTTTTAACTTATCTCAGTCGATACCAAAAAACAGAGACAGTACCAGCAACAAGAATAAAAAAGTTGGAACCCAGCATTGCATAAGCAAAAAGTCAGAAGCAACAAGAAGCCACAATAACTTACACATGACCACTTCTCAAATCTTGTCTTCCTGATTTGGAGCCAATAGCAGATAGCATAGAGTGATGCTCTCTTAATCTGAATCCTCGTAATATTCTCCATCAGACGGCTCATCAAAAGATCGAATATCGAGCTGGTAGCGAAGAATTCCCCCAATGCCACCAAACCCTCGGCAGAACTGTGATCCTTCTTGGGATCGATTGGTCACAAACTCAAGTGAACAACCAAAGTTCCTGTACTCATTGGCAAACCATTCCAGTAGTGGCATTTTATCTTGAACCTCCAATTCTGCAGATGTAGCTGCATCCTTGAAACTGCTCTGGTCATTCTCCTGATCCTTGTTCAAGTATTTGATAACAATCTCATTGGTCACAGAGTTTTTGAGCATATACCGATTTATATCCAAGTTCTCCCAAACTATCAATGTCTCAACAGCGCCCATCTCCAAAGCTTTTATAGTGTCATCTATGCCAAAAACATATTTTCCAGTATCCTGACTTATTTCTTCAAAGAATTTCCCAATCAAGCGCTTTTCCTGTATGAACTTAACATTAGACAGAATCTCAGCAGACAACTCAATTGCCTGATTGAAACCATTTTCGCCACCATAAGACACATCAACCACATTGAGTATCTTAGCTTGGAGGCGAGGATCAAACATATCAGACTGACTCAACTCTGTCTTAAAATCTGCAGATCCAGCCAGTATTAGACCTGATATATTAGGTTGGCTCGTGGCGGGATTAATGAAGAACTGTGTGGCCAGCTCAGCCGTCTTCCTTACATAGTTGTGTCGTTTCTCCATTCGAAGACGGGCAAAACGAAGGGCTGATTGTCCACCTCTTCCGTGTTTCTTTGGAAGATCAACCGTAAATTTGTGAAGTACCTCCCTAGTGTTACCACTTAATGTCCCAAAAAGAGTCCCATTCCCATCCATGACAATAAACCCAAACTTCTCATCAGATTCCAGGAGTTGAGTCAGAGGCTCAGTGTGAAATTTATTGTCACAAAGATACAAAGAAGCATTGATGGGCTTAAAAGGCATAAAATCAAAAGTGACCTTTTTCTCCTTTCCATCTTCAGTTACTATAGTTCCTGTGTAGAGAACAAGGCCATTCTGGGGAACCTTGTTATACAATTTAAGCCTCTGCTGAGCAGAAGTAATTGCGCCTAGCACAGATTGGCGATTTACCCTGCTCTTAATGTTGGAAGCTGTCCCATATTCTTCCGCAAGCATTTTCGTGACCCGGGATACTTGATCGCCTGGGGGAATGATTAGGGATATCATGCTAGTACCATTTCCTCTAGCAGATTCTAGAGCTTTAATCAATTTCTTTATTTTCCATATTTCAATATTCTTATCATTTTCTTGATTCTCTGCCATGGGGACAAGTATTACCAGCAATGTATAAATAACCTGAGAAGAAAGGATAATGGCAACTTTTTAAATCAATTTACACAAGGATGACTAATAGAAAAGAGTGAAATATATTCTCTGATTACAGACAAATTTTCCTCCTAATAATCCCTGAGGGTTCAAGATTATATACATGATACATTTGACATCACCAAAAATCCCAAGCATCTACAGGTGACAAACATATAAACAAGAAATATAGTTCTGAAACAGTCTCCGTAACCACAGCCGAAAAAACACTACAACCTTATTGTTGTATTTTACCAGCAGTAACCTAAAACAATAACTTCTAAATGTTAATATATAGAACAAAGAATTACAATAAACTATTATCCACAAATATTTGGAGCAAGGTAGAAAAACTATTAATTAAAATCAAACTGCTCTTCTTTTTCAAATATTGAGTTCAAATTCTTTCTAAAAGTTGGAAATAATAAAGTTGCTCTATAATGGCCACTCAGACTCAAGTGAAACTTCGAAACAATATTTGAATGCCTACTGCGTGAAAATTTTGAACTCAAGGCTTTTCATTTAACATAGCTTTATGCATGTTTCCCGAACAATAAATTAAATTACCACTTACAGAATCACATATGTTGGAGAATCAATTAACATTTAATTACGTTGAGAAATGCAGACAAATCACAAGTTTGAACACAATATTGCACCATCAATCATAGAAATTTAGCCAACGCTCATTTTACAATTGGAAGAGAATTAGTACTCCAATAATGATTGTTAAACCGATAAGCTTCTATCAAAGTTGAATCCACCATCAGAGGTTGGGTTCTGTAGAACTCTAGCGTTGGACTCGTTACAAAACAGTATGTTTACATAAAATAATTATACCTCAAGCAATAGCAATTGGGAAACCAGAAGAAAATAAAAACAAGAACAATCATCCTAAGCAATTATAAACAGCTACGGGTATTTCTCTGGGCAATGCTTTAAATCCATAAGTCATTGAACTAGAGGCCAATCATTGAACTAGAGGCCAAAGCAGCTCCCCCGTTCATCGTATTGAATACAAATAGAAACCACTCATTCATGCCGCCCGCATAAATACAAAAATTAAATGGGGCTATTAATCATATATTATAGATAGATCTAATCCATAAACATAATAATCTTGAATATAATCGAAATCTAGAAATGACTAAAGAGAACACTAAATCTAACAGATCCACTTTGACCGACGAAGAAAGCGCCCTTCACCTCAGTTACCTCACATCGAGCTTGTAAGACAAGAAAGAACGAAAAGAAAAAACTGCCCGGCGATTTTTCAGGAATTAATCGATGCAGTTGAAGAAAGTTGCAAACTAATAATCTTATAAAAAGAAGAGAAAACTAAATTTGGAAAACTAATTGTCAACCGAGTTTCTAGTTGGGTACTCACTTCGTCTGTGGATGATAGACGACGATTGCTGAGGGAGCGACCGATATCTAGACTCGCTTGGCTGCCGCTGCCGCCGCCGCTGCTATCGTTTGTTTCTTTAGATACATATAATAATAATAGTAAATGTATTTTCTAAAATTTTCCTTACAGCGAAAACCCTAGGACGCTCGGTTTGTTCGGATTCTTTTTTTCTTTTTTTTTTTTTTTCTTTTTTTTTTTTTGAGTGATTTCTATAACATTAATAATTAATAAATTAATTTGAATTAATAGTATTATTAAACATGACGTAATATTAAAAATAAAAAATATGAAAAAAAAAATGTATATTTTAGGGTGTGTTTGTGTGAAAATTTTCTGTTAAATAAAAAATCAAATTAATATACATTTTTTATTTTTTATATATTAAATATAAATTTTACATTTAAAGCATCACATCAAGTATCATACAATTATTCAAATACAAAATTTTCACTATTCAAATCTCAATATAAAATCCAATCCTACCATTATAAGTCATAATAATTATTTTTATTTCATTAAAAAATTGTATTAATTATATTCTCATTTAAATTAAAATTAATTAATTTAATCTTTGGGCCTGGTAGAATTCAATATGTTTATATTTATTGTCTACTATTATGATATAAACAATGACATGGCATGTTCGAGTAAAATTGTTAAACTAGTCTAACGAGTTTAAATATTTATTGTTCGAGCTTCATTCAAATTTGTTAACATACAAATTCGGCTCAAATTTGTTAGTGGTACAGACTCAACTTGCAAATTATTACTTGAATCATTTAACAGCTCTATGTTTTAGAATATTTAAATTATTTAATATTGCTACTTGGTCCTCCTTACATTTTTTTTTTTTTTTACGTATTTAATATTAAAAATATTCTTATATATATAATTTTTTTTTACAAATATCATTTTATTAGTATTATAAGAAATTAATCAAAGTATTTTTGCAAATTTTTCTTAATTTGTATTACGTTTTGATACAATAATTCAATACTAAAAAAAGTAAATGAGACCCTTCAAGTCGGACGAAATAGTATATAATATATATATTTTTATAATTCAATTAAAATATTTTTATTATTATTTAAAAATAAATAAATAAATAAATAACCATCAAATTAAATTTAAATGAGATCAAAATCAACAAAAAAAAATTTGAATATGATCAAAATTAATCATTATGATTTTTACTAGGACAAAAAATTCTTTTTCTAAAAATAATGTATGGTGATCTGGTATGAAAACCAATAAAATACTCCTACAGTATTTTTTTTTTTTTCTCAAATAATAATAATAAGATTGTGACTACGTCCAACGGCAACCCCCAGACTCTTGGACGGCCAAGGGATCTGATGATATCTCTAGGCCCTGTCCTGTCTGGACTGGCAATGGCATTGACATGGATTTTTGTGTAAGCATCTCTAGGGCTGCCCTGTCGGACTGGCAATGGCATTGGCATTGATATGGATTTTCCTATATGCTTACACAAAAAACTATAATTAATTACTGTTTCATTATTTAATTTTTAATAGCAAAATATTTGTAATAAATTCCATCTTACAACCATTCTAAGAGGAATAATTTGTGTATGTTGTATTTTTAATAATCTTTTAATTATATGGTGTATAGTATTGAGTAGGGCGGCAAATTCACGTTACTTAATTTCTTTTTTTTTTTTTAGTGTGTCGGTTGAACGTAATATGATTTTAGTTTTGTGCTATGTAGCCCAATCTAGTTTCAAATTGGGCTTATGGCCCGGTTTGAAAAGGTGTCGGCTTGTTTCAAATTGAGCCAATTGTTTTAGATTTTAAATAAAACATTATTAATTTTTTTTATTTATATAATTATATTTTGTGTAATTTCTTATTAAAAAATAAATTACATTTTCTATGTTCCCGATTAAAGTATATGTTTGCTTTTTTTTACGTAATTTTTTTTAATATTAGTATTGTATTTATATGTAGTACAATTTAAGATAAAAAAATAAAAATAAAAATACTCTTACTAGTAATATATAATATGAATATATTGTTATTTGTATAATATATTATAAGTTATAAATGTTTTATATTTTTAACATTTGACAAACTTTTGTGCGCCAACGATGTTCCTCTTTTTCTTTGAAGCCACAGTGCCCGGATCTCCACTTGGCAATGCCCAAATTTTGCTATATCCCGCGCTCTTAGGAAAAATGATTTGTAATTTCTCTTCGACCAATTTTTCAACGATAATCCATATTGTCCTTCACCATTATGAAAAATCGCTAACAATGCTAGTTGATTGATGAAAAAAGATATATGAATTAGGTGTCAAATAAGTAATGAACGCCTCTACCCATAGAGGAGTAAGAAAAAAAAGAAAAAAATAGAAAGAGGTTAAGGAATGCCCTAGCGGCACTGACAACTATTTATGATAACTAGAATTTGTTATTGTAGTTTGTATATTAATTCGCAGGGAATATTATTCGAAAATCAATGAGTAGAGTTTTTATAGGAGAACGATCAGATATAGCAATTGTGTGGTTGTAGACCCTGGATAGTTATCACAATTATTTATACTCTTTTTACTGGTGAGTTTCCAGGTTGAACACAAGGATTTAAAGTCATGAATTTCAATGGTAAAAATCTTGGAGAAGCGACGAAAAAAAGGAAAAGGGGTCCGCTTGGAGCGGGCTTGAATCTTTTACTACTGAAAGCGGTAAATAAAGCAGTAAGGATGAGGTGAACGGAGACGAGCGAAGCGAAAGCGAGAGGCAGAGTTCCAGTGGTAACCAGATGATCGGGGCATGGATGAATCGCGGTTACCAGAGGATTGGGGCGTGAGTGAGCGGCATATTATATGTATAGGTATATGAGCGAATTAGAGTGAATGAGAGGTGTTGTGTCTGAACTGTGCGTTACTAAATGGGTAGATTTCCCTGGATGTAGCGAGCGAATAACGTAAGTGTGTTATCGGAAGCATATATGTATATTATGAAAATGATGATAGAAAGATGCTGTAATTATATAAACTGGATTATAAAGAACTCATCACACTGGTATTTTTGGCCTGGGGGGATTTACAACAAGACTTCAATGATACCCAGAATTAAGACATTATAAGAAAGAAACCCTACAGCCACTAGGAATTTCTGCGACCTAATAGACCCCCGTCTATGTCCCGTTAATTTTCCCAAGTTCTGCCTCATTAGTGGCTTTACCCCCTGATGTTGCTACTATTTTATCAGAATCAAATTTAGCACAGTAGTTAAGTAGGTCGACAAGGCTCCCGCGTACTTAACTACATTGAACTACCTTGAGACCGCTTTTGGCGCATCACAAGGCTTAATTAATCAATTCTTCTCTCGCTCTATACCAGTGATATGAAATTCTCTAAAATTGATTTATATAAGTATGGAAAATTGTGGAAGAATTTAATTTGAAGAAATGAATGATATTTCTTTATATACTACGAAAAAGCGAAAAGAATTAGACTACAAAGCTGTAAATGAAAGCAGTAATCTAATCTAAGAAAGCATTAAAGACGTAGCCAAGGGAGAGGGAAGACCCCCACTCCCTTGGCCTTTCCTGTGAAGAACTCTCTTACAGGGTTGGAGCTCTCGAAAACAGGAAGACGACGAACGCTATATGTATGCTGAAATCGCCAAAGAATTCGATCTCTTTTTACATAAAGATACCTAGCCCTATTTATATCAAGTGTGAAAAGGCGGTTGCAAGTAGCAGTTAGGCAGTTCCAACCACTGGGCAGTTAGGCGGTTGCTGGTGGTTATTCTGTTGAAGCAGTTGTTGGCCATAACTCCCAGGGTGCCCGCTTCGCTTGCGTTGAAGGTTAAGGGCACAGATCTTCCTCGCTTGCTGGAGAGCAGGAGGGCATCAGCTTAGCTCGGCTCGCTTGTGCTAGCTGGAATTGGAATGGCTGCACCGATGCAGTTGAAGTACTTAGTTGAAATCTGGTGATAGTCTGCAGCGGCGGGTATCTGGACTGTTGCTTGCAAGCGGGAGAGGCTATCGCTTGCGGCTATGAAGGTGGCCGCTTGCTTCTCATGCCTTAGTGTTTTCAAAGTGTGTCCTGGGCGCTTGCAAGCGAAGGCTGTTGTCGCTTGCGGCGTCTGCCTTAGCTTTTCTGGTTCAGAATACCGCTTAAGAGGGAAAAAATCGTTAATAATCTCAACAACGAATTTTGGATCATGCCTAGTGATATAAATCAATATTGTATGCCAATTACGAATTATTTTGATGGTTCTTATGCAGAAATTCGAGTAATACACATTTTTGTCAAGCTAAGAATATGCTCATATTTGGAGTCATCAGGCACCCGAATTGTCAAGCCAAAAGTTGGGGCTGATAGAGTTCAAATCTAAAGTCACACCTTTTTTTTTTTTATCATTTTATTGCTAACAAAGAGTAACATCGGCTTCAAAGACGAGTTCCAAGGAAAATCATAGGTCGGATAGGGCAAAAGGTTGGAAATCAAAGAAAAAGAAGACAATTGTTACAAATCATAAAGGATCATGGCAGTAATTAATCAAAAACGCAAAAGGATAAAGCTTAAGATTCGATCTCTATCTCCCAAAATGGCACAGATCGTGTTCTTGACAGCTCAACCATATTTCCTACTAGAATAAAGACAGAGAAAAATAAGTCCCAATATCCTAACAAGTCTACATAGTCTGAAAGTTGGTCGTAGAAAAGTTTTTGAAAATAAAGTTTAAACCACAACTCCAAAATACAAAAGAACCCGAGAAAACAGTGTCCAATTTGGACTTTTCAATAAGTTTTGCACTAATTTTAGAAAGACCTTTGTAATGATTAGGTAAAGACAGGGTACCTAATGAGTAATACTTCATTAAAGCTAGGTGAACAATTATATTCAAATGAGAGAATGATACACACTTTAGAGAAGGACAAACTATATATTCATACGGCCAGAGAAGTAAAAAAAGAAAAATTGTGTATTTTTTCAATTACCTCATTATTGCCAGAATCTTGGTGAGTTGCCAGAAACATATTCCAAAAAGTCACTTTATTGCTCATGTCGTAATCAAGATAGGTTCTCGGCGATTCCGCAGCAGACAAAGCTCCTAGGATTGGATTTTCACTCAAATTTGGGAGATTAGTGATCACCCTCACGT